AATGTGAGCTATTGGATTTGTGTGTGTGTGTGTGTGTGTGTGTGTGTGTGTGTGTGTGTGTGTGTGTGTGTGTGTGTGTGTGTGTGTGTGTGTTGGAGAAGTCTGGGATTATCATTCTAATGGTGGAGAGTCGCAGGAGGACGCCCTTAACACAAAACCCCGTATCGATCTCCTGAATCTGTTTCTGCTAACTCACAGCTGCTACAGTTCTTCTGCTCAGGCTGCTCTGTAAACATGAGTTTATTTGCTTACTGACATAAGTTACAGGACAAATGTTGAAGCATATTGTCAAATTATTTACCTCTAAGTATAAGGGTAATCATTCTGTTTTACTTTGAAATGTTGACAGGAAATGCTTTTATTTTGAAGTGCAAGGAAGTATCCTGCTCTGTGTTTTTCCAGGTTAGTTGATCGATGAAATGAATACGAGTTGTGGAGTGCATGATTCCCAGTGTACTAGTGTTCTTGTTGTAAACTGCTGGAATAATATACAGTAAAATATTCAGTTTGGACTAGATCTGCTTTGTTCATTATTCAAAGTTTCCACAACATAACACATTCTTCTATTTTTTAAATATCCTTTTTTAAATGCAGTTGATTGACACCTGATTTAATACACAAAAAGACTGTTTGCTTTTAATTCATGTATTAAACTAAAATAGCATTTCTTAACTATACAACTACATATCATTTTGTATCCTTATTACTTTCTTAGGTCACATTGTGGTGTTGTCTTACATTATACACCTAAGTAAAAAACATCGTATTGATATTCATTTTATCTTGGATTTTGTTGCCTTACATTTGAAATTGAGGTAATCCAGAAGTAACAGAAAGTAATCAGATTACATTACTTTTGTTGTGACTCTTACTTTAGTGTGATTGTGATTTATGGTCATACTAGATTAGATTGCTGAATACATTTTTAAGGTAACCCTCCCAACCCTGCTGTAAGTACCGTGCTGACCTTCGAGGATGACTTGCACGAAGTCCTGTGCGGACATCTTTCCTTTCCTGGCGAAGCACTGGTACGCCCCCCCGTCGCTCTTGGACATGCCTTCCATGATGAGGCTCTCCCGGTTGAGCCCGGTGAAGCGCACGTTGTTTCCGGGGTAGATGATCTCCCCGTTGCGGTACCACGACAGCTCGTACTCGTCTGATCCGCTCACGCTGCAGGACAGAGACACCTTGCTACCCACGCTGCCTTTCACCTTCCGGGGGCTGACCACCGCCTTCAGGGGCTCTGGAAAAACAATGTGGCGTCTTTAAGTTAAGCAAAAATGCCAAACATTCCAAGTCAAAGTCAACTTTATTGTCAATCTTTCTATTTGTGTGTACAGACAGAGAGATCGAAAAACCGTTTCCCACAATCCCAAATACAAATATATATAAAAATATGTATATATGCTTACGTTTGATGTACAGGCGCCCCATGACCTCAGCGTTGCCGTAGCTGTTCCACACTTCGCAGACGTATGTCCCGGAGTCGCTGGGCTGCGTGCTCTCGATCAGCAGCCCGGTGATGGTCTGTCTGAAGCGGTTGTCGGGCTCCAGAGGGCTGTTGTCCTTCAGCCAGCGGTATTTGGGCGTTGGGTAGCCCGAGGCCTTACAGGGCAGCTCCACCCGGTGATTGATCGTCACCTCTCTGTGGTCAAAGCCATCCAGGATGCCCGGCTCAGCATTGGTGGGGTCTGGGAGTTAATAATACAGCTTTATTTATATAGCACTTTTCATACAACACGTGCAGCTGAAAGTGCTTTACAAAATGACACATCACTAGGTAAAAACAAACAACAAGAAATTCCCCTCAGATTATTTGTTAAGAACTTTAAAAAGGTACATGCAGCAAAATATAAAATGTTATCAGATAGACACAAGGAGGTCAAATGTATGATAATAAAAAATTCAATACATTTCTCTCTGACAGATAAGACACAAGACAACTGAGTCGATTTAACAATATAAAATGTATAATATAAAACCCCATAAAACAAGTGAACATATAGGTACAACAGAAATAACAGCTATAAAATAAATAAAACAATCTAAAGGTAGGTAAATAATAAAGACTAAAAGAACATTTAAAGTGGGGGGTCGCTAATAAAAAGCCAATCTAAAAAGATGTGTCTTTAACTGGTGTTTAAAAATGTCCACTGAGTTGAGAGAGAGTTTAGGGTTAATAAAGTCGGATGAGCCCAAAAACGCAGAACTGACTTAGCACTTCCTGTTCCATCGTCTTAAAGTCAAGGGTTTCTTTAATGAATTGTTAACATCTATGTGAGGAGAATCTATGGCATTATCTACAGTAAGATTTCAATACTGTTCTCCTGTGTGTTATTGCATTCAAACAGATCCCAGTCTGAATGCAGTCCTGACCTGACACGATGAGACGGGCGCTGTTGCTCTGGCGCGTCTCGCCGGTGTAGCGGTGGCGGGTCGTGCAGCGGTAGTTATTCAGCCCATCCTCAGGCAGGACGTCCAGAATATACAAGGCTCCTGTGGAGGTGATGAGATATCTTTGCCCTGGGAAAGACAAAAGCAGAGCGAGAGGAAACACATGAGGCAGCAGTCGTGTGATTGTAATGTAGGATCAAAACAACTTTTTACTTTATAAAGCATTTATCCCAACAGAGGGATCTCTTTCTCCACAGGGTGTTCAGTCTCACAGCGCACAAAGCCTTTAGAAGTTATTTTATATTTCTACATGAGATGGTTGTGGGGAAGCACGCACCCTTCTACACTCTGTATGTCTGGCTGCAAAGGTCTTGTGGGATGTAGTTGGAGATACACTCTCTGAGATCTAGAACATGGAAGTCCAGCTACATGCTCGCTGGTCATCCCGCCCAATTCTAGCATTGATTTTTCAACCAAACAAATTATTCTCATGAACTGAACAATCAACTTAAAGAGTGAGACTGACACGTTTAGAGCAGCTAGCCTCACCAACGTTTGTTGCGCTAATGACTGTAAATGATTGTGTTGAAATCACCCAGAGAAGAGGGATCCATGAATTGCATAATTGCACAAACTGTCCTTGTTGTAATCCTATAAATGTCTGCCCTCTAACAGCCTCTATTGTTTCGTCTCTTGCCGTTGTGGTAACCTCAGTGGCGCCAATGCCTGGTGCACAGAGCCGATCCCTCTGTGGCTGTCACTGCCACTTCACTATGTGGGGTAATATTATGTTAATGCTGCAGATCAAACCAGGCTGATTGGGGTTGTCAACATCCATAAGGAGAGAAACCTTCCTCTCCACCATCACATGAATGCCCACAGTCCCAAGGGAGCAGATTGATGTCAAAACTGATCGAAAAAGCAATTTACAGGAGATTGTCTTCACTGCAGTGGTGGGCACGCTAAGACAGAGGAAGCTTAAGAAGGCATGAGGACGGAGAACCTGTAACTGATAACTCTGAGGGCGTCCAGGAGGAAAACACTGAACAGGTTCAGAACCAGAGTCAGGTGTATTGCTGTGTTCATTTTCACATACAAGGAACTTGCTTGTTTATGCATCACACAGAAAACACATTAAGAAAAACGTAAGATGCCCCCCTGCCTGAAACGCCTCAATTGGACTCCTCTGTTTTCTTCCGGAACGTAATGACATCACTATGTAACACTTGCGCTTCTATTGGCTAGCGCTCCAACACATTGTATGTGATAGGATAAGGGGCGTGACATCTCTGAGCGGTTGACCAATCACACCAGAGCCGGCCAGCTAACCAATCAGAGCAGACTGGGCTCTGGTTTCAGACAGAGGGTGAAAAGAGGTGCTGCAGCACAGAGGCAGTATGAGAAAAATAAAGAGCTTTTTGAACATTAAAGCATGGAGACATGTCACAGTACGGACACAAAATACTAATATTACTTTCACTTTTGGTACTTAAAGTATATTTTAGGTATTACTTGTACATAACAGTATTGCTACCATTACTTTACCTTTGCCTGAAAGCAGTCATGTCAGAGATGTATCCAAAACTAGAAGAACAAAGGAATGATGTGTGGGAGCTGAAGCAGATTAACACCAGCTAATTTATTTAATCTGAATATGGGGAGCTGAGAGTTTTTCTCTTAAAAAGGCATGTACTGTACAGTGAGATATGATTTTTAGATTTATGATAAAATCAGAATAGAAAATTTGCCAACATTTTCTGCATTTTGAATGTGTGCTTCTTTCTGTTAAACTGGTGCAGAATATTTATTGTCTTGTGTTTTTTCTCAAAATGGCCTCTCAAATTGACATCTCAAGATCTTATGAAAAATGCATGGACGAGCAGGTGCAGAGGTTTCTTTCTTCTCTGTGTGGGTTAACAAATTAGACGCCACATGCCTCAGGTCACATAACATCATCCCCGATAGATCAGAGAGCAAACAACTGCTATAACTGCTTTAAAAAGAGTTTCCTCTGCATTTCATCCTGCAGTGTTTCAATTACCACACAGCATAACTGCACCATCCAAACCAATTAGCTGAACAAATATTAATGAGAAAAAACCTAAATGTAATTTCAAACATTAGCTTCTACACCACAGCTACATGTTTTAATATTACCACTTGAGACTAATATGGAAGCAAAGCATGCTTAATATGCTTAAACTCTGCATGCATTTTTGGATGTTTATACATGCAAAGGAAAATCAACCTTGTGGGGTTAAGCAAACGGGAGAGGGGGGATCGAGGGTGGGGGGATATGGAGAGAGGGCGGGAGGAGAAAAATTGTACAGCTATTGTAAGCATTGACCTAGATAGAACCGACAACAGATTCCACGGATTTGGTGTCCTGAAGGGGTTTCACTGGTTTACATACAGGGCTGTGAGATGGGCAACCAGCAATCTATAAAGAGAGGGTGTGTGTGTGTGTGTGTGTGTGTGTGTGTGTGTGTGTGTGTGTGTGTGTGTGTGTGTGTGTGTGCCGGCAGCCATGCATGCATGCCAGTGTGCGAGACAATTGGAAGGAGGAAGAGGTTGCCAGATGCAGAAACAGTTTTTAATCATTGCTTAATTATGTATCCCTGGTTCTGTATGTTTGCGCACAGAAAAGAGAGATTATTCTTTATTTTGTTTATTTTTCACATTTCAGTGTTGGATATGAATGCTTGTTATTTTGTACATTTGGATCCAAACCACTATATATAGACCAGAAATGGCTGAAAAAGGTAAAAACCCAGAAAAAGCACAAATGACCAAGCAGCCACAACAACTAAAATCCTCCAAAGCTGTCAACATGTTTTATTGTAAATGTTTAATCTCGTGGCTGCACTGTAGAAATGTTTTCGTTGTTTCAACGGGGAAAAAAACAGCAGCTCTGGTTGCCAACATAATTCTGTATAAACTCCATGACTTCAGACAACAAAGTGTTTATTTTACTCTCTATAACTGTTATAATTTAACCAAAAATCCGGTAAACATAGCAGTGTGAGCAGAACCCGAAAAAATACATTAGAGAAATAGCTTTCCAATGAATAGCACCATATCTGAAAAAGGTAAAAACCTTTTAAACAAAATATTACGAAGCAGCAACAACAACAAAAATCCTCCAAAGCTGTTGACATGTGATATTGCAAATGTCTTATTTTGCGTCTGCACTGTAGAAATATGATCTTACTTTCTGCGTAAACAAATGCTGCCCTTGGTTGCCAAATCCTCCAAAGCTATGTATTCTACGTATTCATTTCAAGCTCTAAAAGTGTTTTAATTTACCCCCAAAAAAAATTTGAGCCAGTAAATATAACCGTGTGAGATCAGACCACTATAAATATATTACCAATAAATAACACCATATCTGTAAAAGGTAAAAACCCTTTGAAACACATCATAGAAAACAAAGCAACAACAACAACAACAACAAAGAATCCTCTAAAGCTGTCCACTCTCCTCTCTCTCCTCCCTTCCTGCTTCTCCATTTTGATTCTGTACTGGTCCTCTGAAATCTCACTGTGGAATCCATCTTGAGTGAGACAAAATGGTATTTCACTCCAGCCGCTGTGAGCTGCTGCTGCAATTTTCTCCTCAAGCACCTCCATGCTCCTGCGATGCCTTTTAAGACGTCAGCGCTCTGGTTATTGTGTTATGACAGAATGAAGTGCAGACAGAGCGGACGCTCCAGTCAGGGAGGGGATTCAAAACGGATTGAATTGTGTTTTATTGTATTTTTTCTCCGCGACCCGCTCCCTTTAATTCCACTGCTTTGTCTTTGACTCGCTTCAGCATTCAGGTGTTAGTCCCTACTCCAACGCCAATGTATCAAGTAAGAAACCGCCGTGTCGGAAAAACACTACAATCTAAGAATCAAAGTAACTGTACAAATATATTAGTTACAATGAAACGTTATCTAATCTCACTTCTGGATTACCTCATTATGAAAAGCAACGCGAATAAACACAATAAAAGAAAAAAATCAGTAAGATGATCTTTACTTAAAGAGGCCTTATTCAGATGTTCTCTTCCCTGTAGTGTGTTCTATAGGTCTGTGTGCATGTAAATGGTCTGCAAAGGCTCAAATCCCTGTGTTTACTTCCTGGGCATAGTGACATCACTATGTATGAGGCTCAGAGACGGTACAACTCCAAGCGGTTGACCAATCACAACAGAGCTGGCCAGCTAACCTATCAGAGCAGACTGGGCTCTGGTTTCAGACAGAGGGTGAAAAGAGGTGCTGCAGCACAGAGGCAGTATGAGAAAAGTAAAGAGCTTTTTGAACAAGGAAACATGTAGACACACAAAATACTAATATGCCATGGGTTTTTTTTGTTTTTTTTTACCTAGGCAGCCGACATATAACTACAATTAATGACTTGTTTCATTCCTCGTTTGTTTTTAGGAACACCAGATACCCATATGACTGGGCTCTGGTTTCAGACAGAGGGTGAAAAGAGGTGCTGCAGCGCAGAGGCAGTATGAGACAAATAAAGAGCTTATTGAACATTAAAGTATTGAAACATGTCACACTAAAATTCAGGCAGTACGTTTACCATATATTGATGTTTATTTTCAAATGTATTGTAACATTGTAATCCTGCTAGTGTCTGGTAGTGTGGTGCAGCGTAGTGCATTAACTGCTGTGGATTAATTAAGGAAGTAATTGAGGCCTCAGTCCCCAGGTGCATTCAATATCCTCTGGACGGAGATTTCTGTGTTATTGTCAGAAAGTGGAGCCTCTCTTCTCTCCATTCATTCACAGGCACTGCTACTGTAAAGTGAAAAAGGGCTCCACTCCACCACACACACTTTATCTAATCATCCCCACTTTGCCCGAGACAGAATCTAATGCGAGCGGCGGGCTCTCACTCTCAGCAGGCTAAATAAGCCTCGACGTACAGATGAGCTAGTGTCACAGCGTCCTCGCTGCCAACGCGCTCTGAAGTCGCTGTGATTTTAAACTAGAGCCGAGCTCAGAGTGAAATAGTTATAAACCGCCAATGTGTTTATTCCAATTGCACATGCAAAAGAAACAGCTGGAGGCGATAAGACAGCAAGTGGTTCATATTTGTGGGATAATATGATAAATAAACCAGATTTTTAGC